GCCAAACTTGTGACTCAGTCATTACATAGATATTGTTATAAAAGGAAACACTGTACAGTATTGTAAAGTTCTGATGACATTTTGAGGTGATATTTAAAATACCATTTCCATGAACAATTCAAGCCATCCCCATATAGGCAGTGCTGCCACCTGCCTGATATAGTCTGTATATATATATATTGTTGTAAGCTTTATGTTTTCTAATATTGTAGTTTGTTTGATAGCTAGAGAGAGCTATTATTTCTAGCTAGAGAAAGTTAGGTTTTTGATGATGTAAAAATAAAATTAAGTTTGAGAAGTAAGAATAGACTAAGAACTTCTACAAAACTCTAAGAATGTCATAAAGTTTTCTAGCGTATTCAAAAACAGAACATATATATGTACAAGATGGTTAATAGAGTGAATCAGTTAGAATAATAGCAATCATGGTTACTTTGTATAAGTAAATTGATTTGTGTTACATTAGTTAACAACATTTGTAATGTATGCTTACAGCAATTTTTAAGTTTTCAAGTTCTTAGAAGTCAAAAGAAGAAATAAATAAACTTGTTTTCATTTAAATGGATTGAATATTGAACTATTTTTACTGATCATCTAAAATAACCCAATAATGAGAGAACAACATTAGAACGTACAATTATAAAATGTGATAGTATGCAATGTTATGAATCAGGCATAGAGTTTCTTTATTTTTATTAATCATATGACTTATCAATAAGAAACTTATTACATAAAATGTAATATGTTTAAGCACTCAACTAATCTCAAACATTTGTTTTATATTGTATAAGCAGTGGGATGTGTTTATAAAACATAGTGCCTGGGATTATCAGCCACTAATTGTTGCCAATTTTAAAATAAACTGACTAGATGGGTCAGAGGGATGATGATACACATACATTTATCTTGTTCACCTGCAGCCTAAAGACACAAGTGTTCTTGATTTTAAAAAAAAAGAACACAGAAAATGTATGGAAAAATAACTTCTCTGTTTAGCATTCTCTATAAATTCCAATTGTTTATGTATTTCATTTTTGCCTGATCAATATTTCTTAATATAAATCACAACAGAATACCAGGGTACAGTCAATCTGTTAAAACAAAGTCACTCAGTGGATAGAACCCATAGAACCCTAACCCTGTCTTGACTACACCATTAGATACAAACATCTAATTGAAATGCTAGCAAAAAATGAATTGAAAATTTAAAAAAATCCAAGTACTGCTAAACACTTGATGGTAAAGGACTGAATAAAAACTACCCCAATGTTTGAGATGAAATGCAAACCTCATGTCACACACAAATAATGATACCTATAAAGTGCACTTGTAAAATAATAGAATACAGAACATTTAAACCTGTGTTACTACACAAATGTACTTATTTAACAACACATGTTCAGGAAAGAAAAAAAATTTTATTTTATTTAATGACATTTTGAATAATTGCTCTTCTTCTGTGTAATAATGATATCCCTACTTACAGATGGGGTATTATCATCTTGAGTCTTACTTTCTGGAATTACTTGTTTACCTCCATCGTGAATTGACAACATCAGAGCCTTGAAAAAATTATAGTAAACATTTATTATTACTGATGAAAATTACTAACTTAAGCAATGAAAAACGTTATGATAAGTCAATGAAAAATTATATTTAACTTCTTTGTTCAGCTGGTTTTATGTTAGTTGCATAAAAAAATACCTCTTCTTGTAAGTAAAGAAGGCTTAACATGGATATAATAAAGGAAAAATTAATTTTATCTAGAATCTAAATAGATGTTTGTATTAACACTAATAATTACAAAAAGGACTAAGTTTTAGAAGTAGTATCAGTCTTCAGTATATACTAATTAAAAGCTGCTCATTGCTGAGATTAGATGACAAAGATTATGATATTTGTTTGACTTGATATAGACCTTATATATATACAAGTTCATCCCTTTGTCACTGAAATTCACGTTTTGGTAAGGAAAAGAAATCCATAAATAAAGATTATGATATGTTAAAGAGCATGCTTACAGAGGGAAAACAAATCTACTGGCAGATAAACACCAAAGCAAATAAGGATGTGGCACATCAAAATAACAGCAGCAGGTGACATAAGGTCAATGTATAAATACTTATATTACTTAGACTATTTTCTTTAATAACCCGATGAATGAAGGAAAAAAACACTTTTTTAAGTATGTTAAAACTGGAGTAACAAAATAATTCAGCTTAGATAAAAGACAAGGAAGCTAAAATTATAAGAAACCTTAATGAATGATCCATATATAATACTGGGCATACAAACTAGTAAACATCAACTTTAGATATGTATTATTATTATTAGAAGGAGAAGCAGAGAAGATATAAAATATCGGTATAAGAGTATCGAGTAATTTAAGAGATAATATTTTTTACCTTATCTACAAGAAGAAGATGAGATAGTCACCTCCAGTAGAAGAGTACAGAGTGATTAAAGAGAGAATATATTTTTTACACTACCTTATTTCTCATTTCTGAGGTATATTTGGGTACAAAACACTGACATCAAGCAATAACCTCAGATCTGCCTCAAATGAAAACAATTTTCCTTTGTTTTTTAAAAGAATCAACATAAAGCTAATAAAAAACATTCTTCAATGTTGAAAACCTAAACCTTCAAAAAGAAAAAAAATATTCATTCACAAGTATACTGTACTAGTTAGTTTGAGTAAGATAGATCTTAGAAAAATTAACACTTATGAAACCATAATTTAAAGGTATCATTTGAGTAAGATTCAAGAGTAGATTTAATTGTAACATACTAATTCTGTATTTAAAGAAACATAATTAATTGTGTATGTTTTTCATGTTCATAATTTAAAACAATTAAAACCTTTGATGTATGTAGCTTAGATAAAGAACTATGATATTGCTATCTAGTCACAAAATTCAGTTTCATGTGTGAAAAGCTAACATTTTCCTACACTGAAAATATATTTCTGAGAGATACTTAACTCCTCCCACAAATAGCTTTTCTTGACTTGTACTGCCCTCTATAGGAACAAATGTTCACTCGCCACTAGCCTTGATACTCCCACCTACCGTCATGGGTATTCACGTGAGACATCTGCATGCTATCATGCAAATGAACATGCAGCAACCAATAGGAGTGCAACACAACTCCTATTGTCACTAGCGCCCTCTCTTCCATGCAGTCTGTAATTACTTTGTGATTGGGCAGTACATTCAAAACCTACACCAGAAGTAGAGAGGTCAGGAGGTAAGTATCTATTGGAAATAGATTTTCGGTGTATGAAAATGTTAGCTTCTGATACAATATCTTCCCTTCACCCACGGATAGCCAGAATCCCACACTGAGTTAGTGAAGGGTCTGGTGAGAAGATGATCTCCCTTTAGAAAGTGCTCGAAGGAGGGGCAAACTGCATGTTGGCAGAATGCATCGTCCATCACCTGATGGAATCTGGAATCGTACATCAGGTCTGCAGTAGGATGAGCATCAATGCCATTTACACCGGCAGAACACCATTGCCCTACTTAAACTGAGTGGGAGTGAGCACACCCAAAAGGAAGCCCCAGCAACTAGAAACAGGTAAGTGGCAAGAACTCCCATACTCCACTAGAAGAAGGGGAAAACAGTGTGTTGGAGAGTTCAGAGGAACACCATGCCAAAGATAGTGCAATGGGTGACCACAACACCTTATTTTGAAATGCAAACTGATCCAGTGACCTACAACACATGGATCATTAGGAATGGACAGCAATCCCCGTCTGCTTTACTTGTGCTAGTCCAAGAGTGTATGGTCCAGAGAAAACATCTTTATGAAGCAAAATACTGCAAGGAACACCTATAGACAGTCTTTCAAAACACCCCATCTCAATAGTGGGAGTATTTAACACACAGGTCTTACAGTGCAGATTTAAAAATAGGTATAATTGGTCAGACAACACTCACCACAAAGTGGGATCCTAAGACATGAAAAAGGACTCCTACAAAGAAAAAGTAGAAAAAAAAGGAGCATTTACTCACTCATAGAGAAATTGCAGAGTGCAAAATGATGACAGGAGGAAGCAAAAACTTGTAGAACATGAAACAGCCAGGTGGTGAAGATAATGATCAGTGAAGATATGGGGAGTGGTCCACATACTGGCATGAACGATGTCCTCCAATGGATGATGAAAATGAACAGCCTGGGGCATGGTAAGGTAACAGATTTAATGTGATGAGACACAAAAACGACAACAAACATCTGGAGAAAAGGAAGAATAAGCCAGGTGAATAAGCTGGCAAATCCAACTTGTAAGGGGAATAGGGACTGAGACTGAGGGGGGGGGATTGCAAGGAATAAACAAGTGGTAGTAGGAAATATGGAAGGAAGCTCTGACTGGGCAAAGGAGGCAAGCAGGGTCAGAATGGTCCTAAAGATGTGATATAGAAGGAAGAGAAGTGGGCGTGAAGGCAGAATTACCTTCCCTAATGTTTTGGTAGGAAATAACGATTGGGGAAAAGGACCACATAGAAACAGTGAAATAAGGTGTTGTGGACATCAATAGTAAACACCTCTGATTGATGATATCTTCCGGCCAACAAGAGGAGGAAAAGGGTCTGTGTGGAGAGGTGACAGAAGGAAGGTGGACAAAGGTTTGAATGGAAGAAGGGTAAGCATATAGGCAGAGGCTAATTCAAGCCTCAGTGACAGCATCTACGACTTAAGCCAATGGATGTGGAACAGGAAACCAAGAGAGGTGAGAATTGAGATAAATGGCAAAGGCATCCCACTGGGAACAGAGCCACTGAAACACCAGTGGGTCCAGTGACCACTTCACATGAAGAATCTTGTTGGTATGACATAAGCAATCTGTGACTACATTCAGGGCACCCCAAATGTGACAAGCCATCAAATGAATAGGATGGCCGTTGGCCCAATACAGGAGGTTCAGTGTCTTAAAACAGAGGCCTCTGTATCGAGTGCCCCCTTGCCAGAAGATGAACGAAACCACAGTCAAGTTGACAGAATGCACCATCACCGACCAGCCCTAAAAGGCCAGAAGGAAGTGAGCCAAAGCCCATAGAAGGGCAATGACCTATAAGAGATTGATAAGAAGAGAGAACTCTGATAGAATCCATCACCCCGAGACCACCTAAGTGTCCAAATAGGCACGCCAACCAGAAAGAAGTGACATTCTGGATGAGGAAGGGGAAGAGGAACACCTATAGTGATATTGGCTCGATCCAACCACCAGACAAAAGAGGAAGTAGAAGAAGAACATCCATGGGATCCTGTATGAGGATCCACTAGTCAATCAAAACCTCTGAAGGTTACACATGTGGGCACGACCAAGAGGGATGTGGGCTTCCAGAGAAGTCCACGTCCCAAAAAGAGAGAGAATCTCTCATGCAGTGGGAGAATGAGAGGAGGATAGCTTGAAAAATAGAAGCTCCTAAGCCCACAAATAAAGGGGAGAAGATTGGGTCTGACAGAGTAAGGAATTGAGCAATGCCCCAAGATGAACGAGGTATTGTGTGGGGATGAGAAAAGACTTCTCCACCTACACCAATTAACCAACCAAGCAGTTTCTCATAGTAGAAACTGTGTATGAAGGGCCAATACAGCCTGTGAGAAAGCTAAAGGTAGCCAGTTGGCAAGTATTGGTGGAAATGAAGGCCTGACCATCCAACAAAAAACGTAGATAGTTGGGGTCAGCCTGAATGGAAGAGCCTAAAACTGAAAAACACAACCCTGATAGATGAAATGAAGGTAATGTCTGGATACAAGGGAGATGGGAATGTGAAGGTACACATTTGAAACATCGACCTTCATCATCCATAGACCAGGATTGAAAGCCCATTGAAGAGACAAGCACGACTCCATAGTAAAACGAGGTAGGCCTAAGATGCAGTTCAAAGCTGAATGGTTGATGACATGGTGTTAGTTTCCAGTCTTCCTAGGGACATAAAAAAGGGAATAAAACCCCAGAGGAAAGGAATCCCCCTGTATGATGACACCCTTGCAAAGCAAGTCCCAAACCACCTCTGAAAGCTGCAGACTGGAAACATAATCCCAAGGAGGAGGGAAGGGAACTGGATGCTGGGACAACAGAGGAGGAGAACAGAAAATGAGGACCAGACTCTCTGAGACAACCTTCAGAACCCAAGGGTTTGTGGTTAAGGACCTCCATATGTGGACAAAACAGAGGAGCCTGGCCCCAATAGGATCCAATCCCACAACACACTCACTGAGACCCTCTGTTGCCCCTAGCACAGTGCTCATAGAACAGATGGCAAACCTCAAGAACTCGAGAGGCCAGAACCAGTAAAGGAGGAAGGAGGAGGTTGAGACAAAGGAACAGGTTCAGTAGGGGTGAGATAAACAGGAGGCCAAGGTGAAAAGGGGTTATGCAACAATGCAGACTCAACACCAGTTTCTGAAAAGCAGAAAATACTCCTAAAAACCTCCTGGTGTAGAAAAGGACCATGAACAAACTGCATAACAAGGAGGGAGGCAAACACACCCAAGCAAAAGAGGACCCAACCCAAAAAAGTCCCAACAACAAAAGAAGTCACATTTGCAAGGAAAGGGCAGAAGAGGAGAGGCATGTCAGAGTGGAAAACCGGTGATTCCAAGCTAAATTCAGGAAAATAGAGGCTAGGAGAAGGAAAATCGAAACATTGGAGTCCAGATCCCACAAAAAGGACAAGTAACTCACATCACTGCAAGTCGAAGTAACAAAACAAAGAATGAGGATATGGCAAAGCATGTTCATCCAGAGTATGTGGGGGTCACATTGAATTCTGACTCCCGAACATAACTGGTCCCCAAACCAACTCACAAGAATCTCAATATTTGGTGAGAGAGGAAACACTAGATACTGTGCCACCAGCCTGTCACTGAGAAAGGCAGGTGAAGAATCATAGTAAATAGGAGACAAGGAAAAATTATAACATACCTGCTTGATTAAGTTGACAAAAGGAGAACGAGGCCTGGGCACTTCCCCCAAAATGAAACTCGACTGTGAGGCATAAACAGGAGGAGGAAACAGGCTGCCCAAATCTTTATCCTTATGTTCAGGCATACCAGCATGTGGTATGAGAGGACAATCATCAAGTGACACAGAAGACTGCATAAAGTTAGCCAACTCCCCCTCGATCCAGACCCATTACTTCCTGAGCTGATAAAGACTGCTCTGATGCCATTGAAGTAGCAGGAAGATCAGCTGTAATAACCATACCAGCAGTGGTAGTTGTGATGTAGAATTGCAAGATCATGATAAATGGGTTTGACCAGGAAAAAGGAGAACTGAAGCTCCAAAAGCAATTCCAAAACAGTGAAAATGGAAAATCTGGAAAAAACAAATGAGGCTGTGAATAATATTAGAAACTTCAGTATGAAAATTAATGAAACTATTCAATGAAAATAATCAGTAGAAAAGCACGAGCAAAAACACTTCCTAGCAGTATGACTGCCAATCAAGAAGTTATTACAGGCTGCACGGAAGAGGGGGTGCTAGTGACTATACGAGTTGTGTCGCACTCCTATTGGTGGAGGGTTGCTGCATTATTACACATGGGGGGTAGGTGGGAGTATCAAGGCTAGTAGTGAGCAAAAATGTGCACCTATAGAGGGCAGTATAAGTCGAGAAAAGCTATTTGTGAGAATAGGTAAGATATCATATTGGAAAATAGAGTTAAAAACTTAATGCTTCAAGAAGAAAACTGAAGATATATGATTTACCTTTTCTAGCATTTCTTTTTCTCTTTGTCGCTCTTTCTCCAGTCGAGCTTTATCTGTTAAAGTAGTTTGAAGAACTGTTTTTAAATCTGCATCTTCCTTTTGTATCAGTTCCATATCAGCTTTATAATCTTCCAAAGATTTCCTAAAACAAGAAATGCATTTCCCAAACTTTTGCAAGACATTGTATGTAAACTGAGAATTATTTCTTCTCGATATTTTTCTACAGTGAACACAACTTTCAACTACACTGTTATCTAAGATCCTTTACAATATTGTAAAAATTTCCAACACTAATAATGGGGGAAATACATAGCTGTATAAGTTTGAAAACAGAACAAACTATGTGAAAAACTGATGAAGAGGTATTTTACTGTCATTAAACTAAAACTAATTTTCTGATACTTTTATCTTTTATATTTGACAACAGAATATTACAACCGACACTGAAAATAGGTTTTACAACATTTTTGATACTTTTTATTTCACAGACCTTTTCTAATACTAAAACTCACAAATAGTTTCAATAATGATACTTTAATAACAATTCTCAGTACAATAAAATTGTTCAATACAGTGTAAACATTTTAAAGGTAATTTGAAATGGATGAAGAAAAAAAAACTCACACACTCATATTAATTGTACAGTGAAAAAAAGATAATATTAAGTTTACTTGATAACAGCTGCCAAAATTTCTTCTTCTTCCTTGTTTTGAGTGCAACTGGTATCAGGAACAAGACCATCAGGGACAACACCATGGTACTGGGCAAAAACTTCCAAGGCTTGTAGTTGAAGCTCAATGTTTTTTTGTGTCATCATTCTTTTGAAAATCTCATAATCATCTGCAGCCCAAACTTGCTCAAAAAGACTCTGAAATGTGAGATTATGTTATTAAAATCTAGTTACAAAGCAAACTGATCTATACAAAACCTAACAATATGTTGTATCACTTCTGTAATCATTGAACAATAAAGACTTGAATTGGTTAACTGTCTGGTCCTACAGATTTTATATAGTTTCCACTAGTCTAGAGGTAATCAATCTGCCATACATTCCTCAAGTGACTAACTAAAGGATTTTTAATAACTGATAATGTACATTTCATGAAATTTGTACAGTTTTTAAAGGAAAGTTATATGTATAACTATGCAGTATGTACTATGAGAAAATCTCAAATCCCAGGTTAGACATTTTTCATATTCACAGTAAAAATTCCTTCATCTTATCTGATGCTATCATTTAAGTGCTTTAACATCACAAACAACATTAATCCCCACAAACTTGAACATTATCAGTTCTAACCACGTCTACACACCAAACATCATTAATCCACACACAGCAGAAATGTTAAC